GCGCTGCCAATCTATGGAACTTGTGCCAAAAGCAACTTAAATCTTCTCTGTGCTCCATATCACGCAGCGGTGCGGAAAAGTTTACGGGCCTTCACCACCACCCCCGTCGACAATATTCTAACTGAATCTGGACACCCTAGCATAAATGAGAGAATCGAATACATGATTGCAAGCCTTATATACAAAATTTTATGCTGCAATAACAGCCACCTCTTTGTCGAAATACTTAAAGCTTCCAATCGAAAGTATCTTCCAAAGCGGCTCTCAGCGATACACCGTGTACTGATCACTGCCAAGAAATTAAACCTATCAGTTAAACCAACTCGGAAAGTGTATCCAAACTACCCGCCTTGGCTGCTGTCAGACTTATCAATTGAAACCCGTTTACAAACATTTCAGAAGCAAAACACCTTTCCACAACTTTACGCGCAAAATTTTCTGGAATATAAAGCTGAGCTAAGTCAAAAAGCATTCAACTTTATTTTTACCGATGGTTCGAAAACCAAATTTTCAACCTCATTGAAATATTTCTAAATTTGCAAGGGCAATTTCTGCATTTGTACTGACAGTCGGTCTTCCATTGATGCCCTCTGGAAATTCAAAAGGGACAGCATTCTACTAACCCACATCAGGGATTTGCTAATTAAACACAAAAACAAAATTAAATTGATGTGGATTCCTGGCCATTGTGGCATCCAAGGCAGTGAACTAGCTGACTCTGTTGCGAAGAGTCTTCATAATGACCCAGTTATCTGCTTTCACACTTTTGAAAAGGCCGATTTGTCGAGACATGTACGGCAGTATATTAACAATAAATCCTTACTAAAGTGGAAAGAATATGTTTACCATTATGCAGATATTAATCCAACAAAAATTATTCTTTTGTAAAACCAGCTGATGGCCTTGAGCTAGTGCTGTTTTTTTTTCTTGTTTCCTGTATATTTATTGTACTCTATCTATCTATGATAAACGYTGCGTTGACAGTTCCGGTGCCAGTACGGGGATTCTGTAGCTATTGCAAGATTGCATGAAATGCAAAAATCCTAAACAAAAATTAGCAAGAGCACGAATACACCTATTTGTAGAATCGGAAATATCTGCGAGATGTATGTGGGCATGTGACAGCTAACACATGGTTGCAATTATTTTGCAACACCTCGTAGCATGAAAGTGGCTTTTGAATTGTCATATTATGCAGCCATTGCATATTATGTTGTGACCGTGTTTTGTCGGCAGAGGTTGGCGCATGCTTTGAAATTAAAATTTTTATGAGGGTGGTCAAATTTATGTGGAAAATAAAAAAATAGAAATTTACTTTTTTCTACAAATGTATTTTATATTTTAAGACTTAAATAAATATTGCATAATGTTTATTTGTCAATTAAAAAAAATGTAATAGGAACAATTCTATTTACATATGCAAGCAAATATAATTAAAATATTAACCATACATATATATACATATGTACGTGTATAATTACTGTTTCCTTTGTTTATGTTTCAAATATTATTTTGCTAAATTGCGGTTTACGCAACGTAACAGAAAACATGGGGACTGTCATTTTATCTTTGCTGCCATCATATGATCGATGCTAAGCATGTACATACTTGTTGCCTCTTCAAAATTTTTATGGAAATGAAAATTGCTCTGTCAAACCTCCAAATGACAGTATTGCTAGAAAGGAATGGCATGAAATATATTTAAAAATCAATTGTTAAACATTAAAAGTAATTAATCTTCATTGGCAATATTGCTAGCAATCCATATTTTTAGCAATTTTAAATTGACACCTAGGCAGTCCCTTAAAGGGATCCCTTAAAAATCTCTGTCGTCAAATTAATCCTACTCGAAACAGACATTAAAGCCAATTACCAAAATAACTGTCAGTGATATTAGTTGAAAATTTGGCAAAAAACTCACGAAATGGCGGTGCCTTAGGTTAGGTTAAGTTAGGTCAGATAGCTGATCATAGATCGCACGTAGACTAGATGTAGTCCTTTGTGTAGCTATTGAAAACAGAACTCCCGTGTTCGGACTTAAGAATCGGAAAAACGCTTAGAAGCCAAGACAAATTTGCAAAAGCGCTTAATTTCTACGCCGCCAGTTCAGTGTGATGTCTATAGGTATGCGCACCCAAGTGATTAAGTCTTGATCTCCCAAAAGCGGGGCAGTCAAGAAGGAAGTGCTGGCTAGTTTCTACCGCATCTTCTACCCATCACTACCGAGAGGCTGGCTTTACTGAGGGCAAAGAGATCATTAGATCTCCTGCGATTTATATTGGGCCAAAAGACTTTTGTGACCACGCAGGTACTAGTGCTGGCCCAGCATTGACCAAGCAGTCGCGAGACCCAGCTGTCCAGCAGTAGAACACAAGAGGACACAGGAGCACCGACCCGTTCCCATTCTGCCGATAGCGACTCTAGGGTGCCTTTCCTTGCCAGCTCATCACCTTCGCAGTTACCTGCGATTCCGCTGTGGCCCGGAACCCATACAAGTCTTATAGTTAAAGCTCTAGCCGCCAGAGAACGTGATAACAGACACTCCTCGACCAACCCTGAACGCACCGTGAATGAGTTCAGGGACAGTATCGTCGCTCTGCTCTCTGAGTGAATGGTCACTTCTCTTCTTGCACTCTCCGGAGCAGCAAATCTGCTGCCACCTTGATGGTTGCGACTTCCGCCTGGAAAACACTGCAATAGTCGGGAAGTCTGAAGCTGGATTTAATGGAGAGCTCCCAACAGTAGATGGTGCCTTATCGTGGTGCAAAACCCAAGAGTTGTCGATCCACTAAAATAGTATCCCTTGTTAACAGTTTTGCCGGTCGAAATGAATTCGGATTGCACACCTTGATAATCGAAGAAAATCGTCGAACTAACATTGATTTTTGATACGCTTTGACGTGGTTTTTTCGGCTTCGGCTCATCTTTGGCACGATATTCTGCCGATTGATCGTCCGTTTTCAAGTCGTAAGCATAGATCGAATACTCATCGTCGGTAATAATATGTTTCACGACATCTTTATAGTCGGAGAACATTGTTTCACATACGTTTACTTGATGCTGTTTTTTGAAAAAAAACTTAAGTGTTTTGGACACAACGTTCTTTCTCTTTTTTGAAAGGCCATATATTCTTTATAATGGTTTTCACTGATCCTTCCGTTACTCCAACGATGTCAGTAAAATCGCTGACTGTAAATTGTCGATTAAGAACAAATTCCTTTATTTTATTGACGTGTTGATCTTCAGTTGATGTTGATGGCCGATTGTCGACTCATTATACACAACATTGTTGATAGCGACAATTACCGACCAGCGTCAACTAATTTGATGCAAACGGTATGACCGACTTTGATTCAACTCAAWTCATATCAGCTTAATGAGTTGCGACGGGTTTTGAACCAGACCATGTGTTATTGAACGGAACAAAAAATATTCGGATCGTGCAACACGGTAGGACTTCCCATTAAAGCTTTTTAAGTTAGATTTTAACAGGTTTGGAACGTGAGGCTGAGCGTTGTAATGCAGCAGAATCACTTTTTCGTGCATCACCCGGTATTGAGGTCATGACGATCTTAAGTTCGTTCAATCATTCCCCGTGCATGTAGTCGCTTTGAAATAGCACGGATCCTCATTTAGCAATATCTTCAATTCTCTTCTTCGAAATTGTTTGTGATTTCTTAACGTGTACGGTTGTTAATATCGAATTGGTCATCTTTGAGGCAACGAAACCAATCACGGCACATTATTTCACTTGAGGCGGCACCTCCGTAACGTTCTTGGATTCCCCGCTGTGCTTTAGCCGCCTATTCCTTTGACTGAAAGATGGGAATCAACACTTCCCGCAAATGACGATTATGTGGCACAAAATTGGACATATTCGTATACAAAGCACAGTTTCTTCAAATGTTTAGGTTAAGTTTATCACGTTTCGAATTTTTGGGCATATTGAAAACGATCACTACTAACGGCTGGAGCCATCTATTGACAAACATCGGGATCGATATTTTTGTTAAAAATTTAGCTATAGGCACTAGGGTCCATATTTTCGGCATCTGACGCGCTTTTAGATCGATTTCGCAGTGTAACATACTAATACCGGTATAACCTTATTATCTACCGAATTTACTTAAAATTGGAGGAGGAAGTGTTGAGCTATTTTGATTACTTTAGGTAAAGCGGTTTTGGAGATCTGTATTGATAGGGCACGACCAACCAGGACGTAGTTATGGTCTGATTGCGTGTGCAAAAATATTTTAAACTACAGGTGCAACCGCATCCGTGATCTTCAGTGCCAAACTCACTTTGTCACATAGTTTAAGCAATAGTAGTTCTATTTACCATACTTGCAAGAAATCTGTGTTCCAATTTATACCAAAATATCTGAATATTTAAGCAGGTGAATTTTGCAATGGCATATGCACGGACGAATAAATTAAATTAAATTAAAAAAATCATTGGTTGAAAATGGCGATTATACTACATATCAGGGTATTGGATAAATTTCAATTGTGCGGAATTTAGGATTTTTAGATGGTGCACAATAATGCGGACTTTTCTATCTCTGTATTGTACCATACGTTTACAAGTTTGTGTTCTCTGGTTTGAACATTTCATTGCCTACACAATACTTGGGCATACCTTTGAAGACATTTCCTTACAGAAATAATTGTATCCATAAGCCGTGAGAATAAAAATCAAACAAAAATTTAAGAATTTCCATCGTTTACTCGCATTTTCACATTCATTTTCACACAAAACTTTCTGTACACAACTGAATGCTTTCGGATCCAGACACCTTTCCTTGCACTTTACTGCCAACTGCTGCAACTTCAACTTCGCGTCGACTTTACCGCAAAACATTTCGCACATAAACACTAGATAGCGGTACAACCGAAGCGTTACAATTCCAAAGCACTACTGTGATCAGGATTAAGGAATTTTTACGCCATAGTGCAATGGTAGTAAGACAGACCATTGCTCTATATGCTAGTGTCGGCATTTACGCCCTCAAACGGCAATAATGTGATTATCAGCTTCCTTACAGTCCTTCACAATGGGAGGGCATTGCGTATGGGTATGCACAATTGTATGTGTCCTGTCGTAATTTATATTTTCATCAGTCTGTTGTCGTTCAAGACATGCTGACGTAGGCATTGAACTCTCTTACGCACATATGATATATACTCGGTTTTTATGATGTGTTTCCCGCCGTTTTGTGCTGTGGACTTTGCGCGTGAGTGTCCTTAAACGATAAGCAAGCAACAAGTTGATTGGATAATAAAGAATAGATGAATTGGGTTACTAAAGCATGTGATGAAATGCAATTATTAGTCGATTTGTTCACGGCTATACATATTGGTGGATTAATGAAATAAAGTGGGTATTTTAACACCCTCGATAGATTTTATTTTAATTGGAAACCGTTAGTATAATGTATATATTTCTAAGGCTGGATAATTTACATACATAAGTACTTGTGACTATGTTTTCAATTCAGTTTTAATTATTTATTTTAACTATTTTGCAGAAATCCCTACACAGCAGATAGCACCTGCATTACCTATGATGCAGTGAACGCCGCCTATTTGGATGCTCGAAAGCGAATCCGTATGTATCGTATTTAAACAATTGTATCCTTTAACGCTCCCATATATTTATATATAAAGGTATATGTAATTATTTGTTATCTACTGCAATTAAAATAATGTTATATTTGTAATAAGTAGTTATAGCTGTAATCCTATTGTTTACACATCAAAATTGGGATGTCATCTAAAAGTGAACGGATTTATCTAATTATAAGAAATGCACTTAGCACGCTAGATAATTAAGACCGAAGCTTTTGTTTTTAGTTATTATGTCCAAAATTTTGAAAATCCAACTTTGAAGAATATATTTTAGGAGTACAAAAGGAGAAAACAATATTTGAATATGTTTTCTTTTTGGATACTGGGAATAAGGTACACCAAAGTTGAAAAGTGGGCAATTATTTTASGTGAAGGTACTGCACACTTTTTGAGTTCCATTTCCTTCATTATTAAAAGTACATGAGACTGTTCATTCATACGGAGTTATTAAATATGAAGCAAGTTATTCTAACTTGTATAGATAGTCACATAAATATCTACTTTTATTATTGTAAAAAGTAACCGTTATAAAGTTGTATAAGGGATTTTAATTTGTATGGTTATCTTTATATATATAAATCTTCTGACCGTGTGTTTGTAATTGAACTGCTTCTAAACGGCTGAACCGATTTTGATGAAGTTTTTTTTGTGTGTTCAAGGAGATTCGAGAATGGTTTAGATTCACAATTTGATCCACTTGGAAATGTTTTTTGGGAACTAATTTTTCATTTGTAATTAATTGGTAATTTTGGTATGTTTTACATTGGATCCGATAGACCGCGCTACCATCGCAGTATCCAATATTCAAACCTTAAAAGGCGACATCTGTAGACCAATAGCAAGTTTTCATAATGTGGACAGGGTTTTTCGTTCTTAAGTAATAAATTGGCTGATTAAGTACATCTATGGGTAGCCATTACATTTTTTTCATACCTGTTAACTATTGGAGAGTACAAGAATGCATAACAAGCGTCGTCAAGGCTATGCGGATACTTTATTAGATTATGGGCGTAGGACGCAAATGCATACATACCAAACCAAACGCGATATCTAGAATAATAATATAGTGGCATAACTGAAGTGTAGATAAAAACGTCTATTATAATTTGAGATATAGAGAAATCTTTTGTACGCATTGCATGAGCAGTGAAATATTTTAACGGGAACGATGAAGTATATGCGCAAAATTTCAAACTAATCCTTTCTAAAAAATTATGAAATTGCTAAATATTGGGAATGGTAGAATAGAACTGCAACAAAATACGCAGTGCAATGGATTAAAACTGGCTCAGTAATCATTCGATGAATAGTATACCACGGGCATCCCAAAMGACTGATGACATAACCTTGCTAGCCGATTTTTCCACTAGGCTGACTGTCGACTCGACTCGATTGATTGCACTGGTGCACAGCCCAAATTCAACAGTATTTTCCCCCAAAAACCAATGCTTTCTTAACGCACGATATACTTTCTGATTAATTTTTTTGTAAAGTAACACAAGAATTCACCAAAAATGCGATATCTCCTTAACTAAGTTATAATCTAAATAATAGAAACCATATAGATGATATTAGTTGTACTACCTATGTATTAGCAAGGGTAAAACGTGGACGGGTCTTCTAGTTAGTTTCTATAATTCGCTCATTTTAATACTCGCTTCTTTCAGAAGCTTTTTGAGTATTTCGTTTTGTGAAAACGACATTCATCAATCAAAAATGTGTTCTGATGCTGAAAACAGATAAAATCGGTTCGATACTTCTCCTAGCCACCATACACCGAAAATACTTAACTTACTTCAAAATACTTGTCTTATTTTCTCGTGTTAATGACAACATGAATTCTTGTTACTAAATTTTAAATCTTTATGACTTTTTTACACCAACGCATGTTATGATAAGACTAAAAGTATGCATTTATACATAGGTCAACGTAACTGGATATTCTAAAATATTTTTGAATTTCAGATGTGGCGCAGCCGAAAGGTGATTGGAAAACGGAAGAATTGGCTACAGTCGGTGAGCTGCTGCTGGACATTTCGATACAGTTAGCGAGAACGTAAGTAGTAAATATTCGTAGTTATTTTACATATATATAAATATTTATCAGTATTCATACAAAATGCACTTGTCATTAATGAGTGAGAGCGTAACACCAAAAACATGAACATAAACTCAATTTTTTGCGATTATTCATTCACAACAAATGTGACAGAGGAACAGAAATATCATTGTATGGTGGTTAAAATATAAGTAAATTAACATGCAACTTTCTAAAAAATTAATATTATAGTATTTGTGTATAAATTTAATCGTTTATAGATATGATAGATTTATCTATTGATCCACATAGATAGATGGTAATAGATATACACAGAATTTCTATTTTTGGGTTATACGAAAATTCATAAAATGTTTTGAAACAAATTGTCCATCATTTATACTCTAACATTTGAAATAAAATAATTTGCCAATTTTTTGTCAATACTGATACTGGACTATGTGCTTATTAAGTAGTTATCCAATACAGTTGTTCATTGATTATTGAACGTTTTAAGTAAAAAATAAGCAAGTAAGGATGGGCTAAGTTCGGGTGTCACCGAACATTTTATACTCTCGCATGATAAAGTGATAATCGAGATTTCAGGCGTGGTTGTGAACCGATTTCACCCATATTTGGTACATGTCATCAGGGTGTTAAGAAAATATTATATACCGAATTTTTTTGAAATCGCTATAGTACTTCCTGAGATATGGTTTTTGGTCCATAAGTGGGCGACGCCAAACCCATTTTAAATTGTTAAAAAAAGCCTGGATGCAGCTTCCTTCTGATATTTCTTCCGTAAAATTTAGTGTTTCTGACGTTTTTTGTTAGTCGGTTAACGCCATTTTTGAACTGCATATGGAAATGCCTAAAAGAAACGACTCTATATAGTTTGGTTGACATAACTATAGTAGTTTTCGAGATATGTACAAAAAAGTTAGTAGGGGGCGGGGCCACGCCCACTTTTCCAAAAAAATTACGTCCAAATATGCCCCTCCGTAATGCGATCCTTTGTGCCAAATTTCATTTTAATATCTTTTTTTATGGCTTAGTTATGACACTTTATAGGTTTTCGGTTTCAGCCATTTTGTGGGCATGGCAGTGGGCCGTTTTGGAGCATCTTCGAACTTAACCTTCTTATGGAGCCAGGAAATACGTGTACCAAGTTTCATCATGATATCTTAATTCTTACTCAAGTTACAGCTTGCACGGACGGACGGACAGACAGACAGACATCCGGATTTCAAATCTACTCGTCACCCTGATCACTTTGTTATATATAACCGTATATCTGACTCTTTTAGTTTTAGGACTTACAAACAACCGTTATGTGAAGAAAACTATAATACTATCTTTAGCAACTTTGTTGCGAGAGTATAAAAATAATTGGGAGTAGAGTAATCGAATTTCTCAATTAAGCTTCAAACGTATTTTTTTTTTTGTTTTGCAAATAACGCATATTGGCAGCTAAGATAAATATTTTCTGTTTAATTATTCTCTATGTTATTCTCTTTTCCTTTTTATATTGCCATATAAGGAATTGGTTAATTGCATATTTTATACTTAACGGTCAGCTGCCGGCCACACTTCAAACTAGGTTAATTTGATAATTTTGCAACATATACAGTTAGGCAGCGGTTCTGCGTTTGCGAACGGAAGAATAATTTGGCTCGACACTGCCATTATCATTTTCCAAAAAGAGTCAGTGCGAAAAAATCGCTAAATCTTTAAAAGCGTAAAAGTTTAGCGATTGGCCTTAAGTCGTTAACTTGAAGACTCAAAAGATGTTGGTTGAAATGAAAAGAGTAAATTTCCATTAATGTGGGTGGCAATTCAATAGAATTGTATCGATATACATATGTATTATGCTGTAATTTCTGACAAATTGTCAGCGCGCAATACTGCGTCTAATAATGCTATTGGCAATCATTGGTAATAAATACAGCTATGGCCAAAATATTAGAAATATCGCGTCTGTTCATACTATACTATAGCAAACATACATCGATTGGATTTACATGGCTACTGAATTATGCTTGTTTATTAAACTGTATGCTAATCATTTCATTTGATTTACTCGTATGTAGAATTAAGTACTACAATAAAATAAAAACATATTTCGCTAAAAGCGCTTACTAATTTGTGGTCCTTTTAATAAGGCCCATGCAATTGGAAAAATTTAACTTCCCAGCATCGACTTGGTATGCTTGAAATGTCCAAGCTAAAACGTGTATTAAGTGTGTCCACTTTTTCGGGCTGTTTTCGGAATAATTCAGGTAAAACCATTTTAACAGCACGGTAACACGTTATTTCTCCTTTTAGTCACTACTACAAAAAGAATGCTATATCTACTTAAATACTGCAAAATATTTAAATTTTGATTTGTCCCGAAACATTAGACGCCATTGAATGTTTGCTCCAATAAGATCATCTACGATACGTGATTTCGAAAATTTATTTTCTTTTCAATACAACGTTTATTTGCGACTTGTCCGAAGCTCTTATTTACGAGAGTRTTTTATATGTAGATCGGTTGTCGGCACATATATTAGTTTCAGTGAAAAATATATGCAGTTTGCACATGTTTCTATTACCTTAGGCATATAAGTAAGTTCATAGTACACTATATTACCATGTGAGTTTGACCCATTGCATTCGTTTGGTAATTTGTTGCTTATGCATTATTGGTATCATTCGCCCTTTATGGCATTCAGGTGTATAATGTGTATATTATGATACATACAAGTATGTATGTATGTATATTCAAAATTTATATGAACTTTTTTCTATATTCTCTTTTTCTTTTAAATTAGTTATGGCCTGTCTTATGAAGAAATTGAGAAAGGTCTGCCCACTATTGACACATCGAAAACCCTCATTCGTGATGTGTGCCCACCTTTCTTTGCGGGAGTTGAGTGTCGACCGGGAAAATATCGTCGTTTTGATGGGCTGTGCAATAACATTGAGCGTCCCACTTGGGGCGCCACCATGGCGCCGTTCCAGCGTCTGATTGGTCCACTATATGCGGATGGTATAAATGCCCCACGCATTTCAGTGACCGGACATGATTTACCAATTTCCCGTATTGTTTCGCGTACAATGCATCCAGATGATGGTTATCACGACCACGCTGGCACCGTCATGGTGATCGCTTGGGGACAATTCATGGATCACGATTTCACACTTACGGGTACACCGCTGGGTGAGTTTGCTGTTTATACTTCTTGATGTGCTTTAGATTTTATTGATTTTCGTTTTCCTCATAGATCCTATCAATCGAAACGATCCGGAAGAGTGCTGCAAACGTCCACTACATCTTAAGCATCCATATTGCAATGAGATTCGGGTTCCAGACGATGACTATTTCTATCGGCTTTTTAATGTGAAATGCATTGATTTTGTACGCGCTTTCCCATCACCACGGCCCGGCTGTCGGTTAGGTAAGCATTCGTTACGATTTAAAGCTTCAATCTTCTCATGACGAGACAAAGTTTTAAGAATTAGCTAAGATAGCGAAGGGAGATACAAAAATTTGTATTCTTATATTTCTTAAAAGAAGAAAGTTATCTTGCGAAATTCTTGACCACTTTTGAAGTTCGACTTGGCAAATATTCCATTATCGCAAAACGTTATGCTATAACAACTAAATTCTACTAAACGAAAATGTGAATACTAAATTTACCAACACATTAATTTAATAAATAATCTATTTTCAGGGTCGCGCCAACAATTCAATACACTCACTGGTGTGATTGACGCCAACACTGTATACGGTGTTACGGAAAAGTTCGCTCGAAAACTTCGTACCGGCTATGGTGGTTTGATGCGTATGAATCCCGTCTTCCAAGAATATGGGCTGAAGGATTTGTTGCCATTGAAGCTCGACATACCCGATGAGGGATGCACGCGCCCGAACAAAAGTATGTTTTGCTTTGAAGGAGGTGAGATTCGGGTGAACGARCAACTAGTGCTAACCTGCATGCACACATTGATGGCGCGCGAACATAATCGCATAGCGACCGCATTAGGCCAAATCAATAAACATTGGGATGATGAAACGATTTTCCAAGAAGCACGCCGCATCAATATTGCTATTGTGCAACATGTGACCTATAACGAGTTCTTACCGATATTATTGGGCAAAGAGGTGATGGAGAAGTTCGGTTTGGTGCTACAGAAGGATGGCTACTGGGATGGCTATGACTCCAAAGTCAATCCTGGTATTATTGATGCTTTTGCTGGTGCTGCATTCCGTTTTGGACACTCTTTACTACCCACCGCCGTAGAGCGTTGGTCTAAAGCACATAAATTTATAGCATCGAAACGTTTATCGGATTTAATTCGTCGCCCGTATGACTTGTATCGTGCTGGTGTGCTAGATGAATATTTTATGGGTTTGATGAATCAAGTGGCGCAAGCGATGGATGACTCAATTACACAGGAGGTAACGAATCATCTCTTCAAAAAGGAGGGTGCACGATACGGATTAGATTTAGTGGCGTTTAACATGCAGCGTGGACGTGAATTCGGTTTGCCTGGTTATATGGAATTCAGAAAGTTCTGCGGCCTACCCACCTCGTCGTCGTGGGAGGAAATGTTTGGTTCAATGCCAAACGACACAATTGTTCGTTACGAAAGTATTTTTGAGTAAGTGCGAATTTCTGTTTCTTTATTTTTTTGATATATTGAACAGTGTTTTACTTTAAGACATCCGGCAGACATTGACCTTTGGTCGGGCGGTGTTTCAGAGAAGCCTTTACCGGGTTCTATGCTGGGACCCACCTTTGCATGCGTTATCGCAACTCAGATGAGTTACTCTCGCCGGGGCGACCGTTTCTGGTATGAGCTTCCGAACCAACCATCATCTTTCACTCCCGAACAATTACAGGAATTGCGAAAGGCCAAACTATCACGCCTTATATGTGACAACACCGATCTTATCGACACCGTACAGATTTACCCTATGGTGCTGCCAGATCATGAAATGTAAGTTGATCTCCAAATTATTTATAAGATATGCAGACCTTATAACGTATTGATCTATTAATTAACACCATCCTTCTATTCTACATTTTTCTAAATATATTCGAATTGTTTTAGTAATCCAAGGGTGCCTTGCAAGAGCGGCATTATTCCATCAATTGATCTGACAAAATGGGCCGACTACTCTAGTGCCGAAGTAGGACATCAGCCTGTATACGTAAGAAAAAATTAAATTAATATTTTATTTACTAATCTGATATTTAAACCCTTTTTTCAGAACTTTATTAATGAAATACCTGACACATTGCTGAATTTCAAGAAAAAATAGACTGGATAGCTGGATAACGAACGAGATGAGGCAAACGTTGATTTAATTTTTCAAATTTAACGTTAAGAAAAACAAGTATAGAGATTTGGAACGAATAGCGCTATTACATTTACTTTCTTCAATTTCTACATTCAAAAGCAAATACTCACTATTTATGTACAATACATACTTATTATACATTTATAGGTACCAACCTTTCTAAGTCACTTTGTTGCCTTCCACTAGAAAATAAGTGTCAAAATGTTTATCATATTCATACATGTATTGCTTATATAGCAGCTTTATGGTTTTCTCACGTCAATCACCTACAAATTTAGAACTATTTTGACCACGTGCATTTTCAAAAATTTTCAACAGGCATTTCGTCATCTCGATTCATACATTCATATATGTATGTACATAATTATTAATTTTATGGTTATTGTTATCTCAAATTTCCTTCGTACATGAATGTTTGTGTAATTGTTTTTATTTTTGTAATAACCATGTACATATTTAATATAAATAGTGAAATTAAGCGTACACACATACATATTGCATAAAGATTGTTCTTCATTTACAAGTACGTATCAAGTGAAATTTAATATATGATGAATTTGTTATAATCTGTGTAAAAAATAAATGAATATTTTGTACAATTATTATTACAATTGGTAGTATATGCATACCAGCTGCGCCAGTTCATATTGAGCTTTAAATGATGTACCAAATTTTTTCCTTAAGAGTGAACATAGAGCTATTGAATTTGTATTTCTGTATTTCTGCGCTTCCTCACAGCGCCACCTGTCGTTATGTAGCGAACGTTCGATTCGTGGGCAATAGATGGCGCTGCTAATGGTACACTGTGGATGAATAAAAAGTGTACTTCCGTTTTAGCGTACCAAATATCAGTCAATTCTTTGATAAAGTTTTCAGAGGTTCGATTATTTAGTAATTAACAAATGATTTCTTTTTGTTTATTGTAGATAAACAGTTTATCAAAATTCACCATAACTACATGGACACCAAGATAAACAATACTAATTATTAGGTGAACAAAACATAAAAAATCTGGACACAATGTGAACTTAGATTGTTGTCTTCCTATCCCAAATTATTGGAATATTTAATTTTATCCCTACAATGCGGTGCGTGTATATTCAATGGCAGTTCTGGTTTCAAAGGCAAAGCAAGTTCGGAAAAGCGATGCTTGCTAAGAAGCTTAAACGTGTTTAAAAAGGTTCTCTCTAATAGCACAGAATGCCATTTTACACATGTCACTCTTCCATATAGGTGCCAGGTGCATTTCTGCCAAGGTCACGCTCAGGGAAGGTGCGTACATGAAATAGCCGTAGGATAATCGTCTTTCACGAATGCGTCAAAACTTTGAAGGAAATTTGGTGGGAGCAGAGGTTTAGGCTGCCTATCCACTCTAGCGTTTTCCTGATTGCATCGGATTGGGAACAAGTTTAGTTTCAGTTGTGTACTTGCGTTAGCTGATGCTGGTTAACAACTGGCAACTCTGTGCCTTTTATATCCCTTAGGTTCAATGCAGACCGCAGGGGATGGAGCGAACTTCAGATTATCGCAATAGTAGGAGCTCTTGCTGGGTATTGGTGCATATGCGGTAAGGCTAGCTGTTAAAAACGTCTCTTCAATACTTTGCATTATTTAGCAGTATTGAGAATTAACAGAAGACTATTTCCTTGCCAGGTGCCTACTTATTCCCAATGCATACATACAAATTTAGCGCTTTAATCAATTGGATTTTGAAAATTACAGTTTTATTTGTTTATTCTTTTCATATTATTCCGTTGCAAGTTGTACAATATTTCTATTTACTCTATAATATCCAAAGAAGTATGCATGCGCATTTATGCGTTTACATTTATATATTATAAATGGAACTACAAATTGGGACTACTAAACTACATATGTAAATATAATACCACAAATTATTTACTTAGGAACTTTATGATACCGCGTGTCTCAGAACTATTTCAGTGGGTCATTCTTATATCCTCATGGATCCACATGAGGTCGTCACAGCTTTCACCATATTAATTATTTTCGATGAGTTCATTTCGCATATCAAATAACTTCAATAAAATATGCAAATCACAATAAATTAAAAATAAATAAGCGAATTTATGTTCGGTGGTATAGTTTGCGCGTTTGCTGGCGGTCATATTGGCAATGACCTAAATTAGACGAGTACGTCACGCAAACGTTTCAAGTCAAAGTTCAATACACACAAAATTATATACAAAAATACTTTAAATACGCAGTCAAGCTCATGATTTTAACACGAAACAGTGTAAGGTGAGCAGTGGCGGCGTGCAGCACAGAAGTCAGCGGCTTAGAGAGCAAGTTATGGCGGTGGCAGCGAAGCGGATGCAGTCGCGGTCTCACTCTTTATTCGAGTGCGTTGAGAAAGGGTGCAATAGAGCCGATGTCCTCGCAGTCTGGAATGGCTTTGCCCTTGAATTTAAGACAGGACTCGGCGCAGGTCTGACCTTGAAAGTAGTCACCAAACATTTTCTTACATTGCGCGCAGTTGTTGAGGCAGATCTGAATGAAATCGATGCCGGACATGGTGTCTGTGGACAGAGAGCGTAATATTATAGTAAGCAAAATAAATTCGTATATGTGCTTGTAGACTACCAAAGCGTTTGCCGTAGTGTCCAATGGATGGTATGCCTTCAACGGTCGACGAAAACACCGAGATCAGAACAACAGCGATGAAAACAAAGGCAACGGTCGATTTGTTGATGGAGAACATTTTTGTTTTTAGAAAGCTGGTGGAAAAGAAATTAGTCGTTTTTGAGTTTTATGGATGTTAATCGGTTTTATTATTTTCATATGATATTATATGTTTTTATATTGGACTTAATCCGCTTACATATGATTGTTTCGTATTTTCGTATATTGATCTATTACCAAACTATAGGTATAAAAAAAATAGTATATCAACCGTTGGTGGATGCTGAGGTGTCTGTTACACCTGCACAGTTTTTAATCAAATAATTTTGAATTAAGCTTGGCGTTTGCTTTTAATCTCTCACACGAATGAATTCGATCTCCCGATTGACGTGCAGACTTAACGAGTTAACAGCAGCTTTACGCGCGTTCGCGCCAAATTTGCCCGAGACAATCGAAAAACAAAAGCATAAGAAATTCGCACAAGCAACAGACAACAAAGCGAAAAAGCACCGAATCACAATAACTTAGCTCGTGCAGGCGCAGGGGCGGCCTTTTTTTGTATTTCAGTCAACACGCTTTTTTAAAGAACTATCGTATCTAAGTGAACAATCAGATGAGCGGATCAAATAAAATGGAGAAAGAAAATAATGACGTTCTTCGGGTGAAGAATATATCACTATAATATTCATTCCGTTTTCGTTCTACCATCCATTCGAAACCGTTTAGTTATCAAAGAGAGATATACTATATAAATAAGAAACTTATCGGTTTCACCATTTAAACTCATTGAACAGTCACAATTTATTACTAACTTATTTAACGGGGTCATGATGCCAACACACAACCCTCCAAATTGTTTCGAAAATGTGTTCTTTTCAAACCCGCCACTGAGTCTGTTCGCCAGGTAAGAAATGGGGTTTTCCTAAATTTAGAGGAAAGAAATGCTTTCGCTAAAAGAAGGAAGTGTATGCCATTTGTATGGAATATTTTCTGTAGCCTAAAACGGTATATTTTCTGTTGGTAGAAGGGAATTTCCATACAAGCGCAACCGAAAAAAGAATCAAGAAAAATTAAGTAAATGGAACAAGCTTCTCGCCATAAGCGCACTTTATCAATGCTTTGTAGTCAAGTACTTCTACGAGTACGTCTGTCCGCTCGTGCTTCCCTGAAGAAATGTGTTCCGCGCAACCGCAGTCGCAGTAGTAGCAACAAATGAAACCGGCAATTGAGCAGGAAGTGTAAAATGCCGGCAATAAAGTGACAGCTTCTTGTTGCGAATAAATTCATAATTTGCATTCACTCTTACAAACGGCACATACACATACACACGCATACATCTTTTAACGTGTGATTTGTACTCTTACGTATTTTGTGCATACATTTGTACACACATTTGATATGGGCAGCTGTAGGAGTGAATAAAAACGGATGGTTACTCGAGGTTCCAATATAAGTATGTATGTTGATAGCTACATACTTAAAGGCATTTGCGACTGGCACTTTTGCGCATGTCCCCAGGGCATTTTTTAAACTTCACGAGTTGTTATCGCTACGCACGCATAATCGGTTTCTGCAATGGCSCTAAAGGCAATTTAAGAGGCGCGTCACTACATGTTAAGCAATAATTAAGCGGATATATCTTATACAAGCTTGTGGCTGGAGCTTTTGTTCATGAGCATACGCGAAATATGTTGACGTATAAATATTTATGTATATATAATATGTATACATATTTGTATATACATATATTTTCATAAACGAATTTACTTGCATCCACGAGTAGTGTGCGTAACACAATTGTTAACTTAAATATACGTCACAACGCATGCGCTAAAATTGCTTCGGTATTTACAGGCGAATGATTTTAAAAATAACTTAATTATTATGCGCATTTCATTAGCACATTTATTTATTGGAATCTGTCTGTTCTGAATCGAGTGTATGAGGCACATGGCTACTACTCAGCATGCAGTGATTTCATCCCCTAAGTGATGAAGGGTGAAAGTTTTAGAAAGTCTTATAATAGTTGCTGCTGTGGAATGTAACTGTTAACATTTAGTATTGCTTCCATTCGACCTCAGCTAGCTGCTTTTTGTGACGTGCGTTTAGCAAATGGATGGTTATGAAATTTCAAGCCATTTTCGAATGGTTGGTAGTGTATATGAGAAGCTCTTGCATAACGACATAACGTTATACGTTTTTCTTTGATAGGTATTAGTCAGAGATTGAAAAATAAGCGTGGTCCTGCAGAGTATGACTATATTGGTGCCATGGACAAAGAGAAGAAAGAAACATATTTTTTAATGAAAAAGTCAATCTGTCKAAAAGCTTGGCCAAATACCTGACAGTAACAGGTGCCGTTTAATTATGGTTGTTATTTTAACATTGAACGTTTCGATCTGGTTTTTCAACAAAGTGAGAGATTCTAATGTTTATTTTAAAGTTGTGTACATGTTCAATATAAATATACATTCTATATCAGATCATATTCTGTCGGGAATTAAATTTCATATAAATCTAAAAGACGCGGCGTCGCGTATTTGTGACATACATATACATATTGATATGCACATACATGAATAAACTTTTTTTTTCACAATTATTTTATATCAATGGGAAAGTAGGTGTACATATGCATTAACTACAAAAGTGACAAAACTCAAAAATTTTCAAAACGAATTTTTTTAAAAGCGTTAAAATTTAACAGAATTTACAAATGGTTAGGATAACTGATGTTTGTTTAAGATTGAGAGACTTAGGCTCTTTACAAACTAGCGCCAAGTRGCGAAATGCCTTTATATGTGTTGAGCACGCAGCCGTTGATTTCATGTCACGGGTTATTTGGATTTTCATTCACTCTTTTAAATACTTGCACTCCGGCATGTTTATAACCAAAAAACATACACAAACATGCTTATATTATATAAAAATAGCGGTGATTGCAGCCCTGCAACGACCACATCTTTTTCTTTTACTGACTTTATTCAATTTCGAATTCAAATTCGCAAGCGGTTGGCAGCCAGCCTTTACTTACTTGACTTGACACTGGATTCAAAGTAATCACAAATATTTGGTGCAGTTCGGAGCAAATGCTAACAAGTGTTTGATAAAAACTCGCGTTGACGACTGTTGTCAATGATACTTAGTGTTCTGGTATTTATACAAAATCTCAGCAATTTGAAAAATAGTCAAATTACAATTTTATTACATTACTCAATTTAGTCTGCTAAGTGTAAAGATACTTGCATCGGTTAATTGCCTTTATTTCCGTTGAGTAGACCGACAGCGATTGGATGTGGCTTTTTAAGTGAAATTCTCGGCAGGACAAGAAGGGTGCATTTCAGCAATTATTTGACAAAATATTAGCGTGTAGGATATGCTGAAAACCCTATTAAGTAAATGTTGGTGCATTACTCTTTCACATATAAAGCTTTCTCTCATATATCATGTGCAAAACACAAAGTTTGGCAGAATATACATTTGTGAAAAAGGTAAGCATTACTTATGTATGCATATAGCTCCACTACGTTAATTAGAAACATGTAGGTGATGCCTAACAGTAAACTTTTATTAAATTAAATACCCCTGTTTGTGCCAGATCCGATTCTACCTCTTGTGACGGGTCTTAGTAAACGCTCCTCTTCGACTGACACATACTAAGTAAAAAGAATTTGAAATCAGTTTATAAGTTATAAAACAGAAATTTATGCTTTCGGAAGATCTTCTATGTATGTCTTCTTCTTCTTCTTCTTCTTAATTGGCGTAGACACCGCTTACGCGATTATAGCCGAGTTAAGAACAGCACGCCAGKCGTTTCTTCTTTTCGCTACATGGTGCCAATTGGATATTCCTCTGCTTAGCCCGGCGGGTACAGCGTCGAATACTTTCAGAGCTGGAGTGTTTTCGTCCATTCGGACAACATGACCTAGCCAGCATAGCCGCTGCCTTTTAATTCGCTGAACTATGTCAATGTCGTCATATATCTCATACAGCTCATAGTTGAATCGAATGCGATATTCACCGTGGCCAACGCGCAAAGGGCCGTAAATCTTCCGCAGAACTTTTCTCTCGAAAACTTGCAACGTCAACTGATCAGTTGTTGTCGTCATCGTCTAAGCCTCTGCACCTAATAGTATAACGAGAATTATGAGTGACTTATAGTGTTTGGTKTTTGTTCGTGGAGGGGGGACTTTACTTCTCAATTTCCAACTCAGTCCGAAGTAGCACCTGTTGGCAAAAGTTTTCCTGCGTTGGATTTCCGGGCTGACATTGTTGGTGGTGTTTACACTGGTTCCCAAATATATATATAAAATTTTTGCAACTTCAAAGTTAGACTGTCAAAAGTGACGTGAGTGCCCAGTCGCGTGTGCGACGAATGTTTGTTTGCAGCAGATATTTCATCTTGCTCTCGTTCACTGCCAGACCCATCTGCTTTACTTCCTTTTTCAGTCTGGAGAAAGCAGAACTAACGGCGCTGGTGTTGAGCCYGATGATATCAATGTCATCGGTATACACCAGCAGCTGTACATTCTTATAAAATATTGTCCCTGCTCGATTAAGTTCTGCAGCTCGAATTGTCGCTTTGTCTGAAACCTCGTTTGGTATCGAACGGAAATATCCCGATCCTGACGGAGCTTTTGGTTTTGCTCAACGGCAGTTTACACAGCCGTATTAATTTTGCGGATTTACCACATTCAGACTTCGCGGCATAGAGCTAGCTCCCTTTTGTGCTGTTGTAAGCAGCATTAATGTATGTAGCACACTTTTATTTCCAACAGTGCTCTAAATAGATAGCAGAACTCAATGGAAATGCTTATATAAAAGCAAGGAAAATTATAGATAAAATCTATACCAACCAGTTGGAAGTATCCAATACAAATGCGAAATATGACATCAACGAGAAAGGAAAGAAAGGAAAAGAAAAGAAAGGAAACCTTTAAAAACTTAGTAATGTATTTAGTACCACAAAACGAAATATAATCGTGATTACATTATTTGAAACGAAGTCAAATAAATAACATAGTTCCAAATCTAAATTATTTAAAGGAAATACAATCACTATCAAATTGTAAGAGTTTTGAACCACACCACATATTCTATAACACAGAATTACAAACGACAGGAACGAATTCACTGCATTCATGAATATACAGAATTCACTATTATACAGAAAGTAATTAGGCAGGTTTTACAAATTTTAGTCGACAATATTCTTCAAACTTGTATTCGAAATGGTCACCTATTGCTTTCACACAAGCCCTCAAAAGCAACATAAAAACTTTCTATTTGTATTGACGACGCTGCTCGATCCAAAAATGTTTAGAGACTTTCCGATTTCTGTTTCTTGATGCTCTTCAACGCTGATCACAAAATGTAATCTATTGAAATCCAATCCGAATTTCCAAACGTCCAATCATACTCCATTGAGTATTGAATAATTGCTTTAACATGACTTCTAAAACATCTTGCTAGTACAAATTTAACCCTTTTTCACAGAAGTGAAGAAGTGTAACTTCTTTATGGGAACCTCCCACCAAACCGTTATAGCAGTTTTATGGTGACCATACTGAAATCTTACAATAACATTTTTGCGTCAGGAAGTTTTTGCTTATTAAAAACTTCTTCAATAGTAAATACTTTTTAGTCTGTACAAAAGAGACTTCCTCGGCCGTGCCGCTTTCACTCAGTGCCGTAACTACCTAGGTTCTAGGCGGGGCATTGCCCTGAGGCCCTCAAGCTCAGGGAGTCCTTGAATCCTTACTAGAAATCTCGATCGAGCTGAACTTTTAGAAATTTCTCTAATTTTTAAAATAAATATGATGCTATTTGAATCTTGACAACTCAGAGAGAAATTCAAAAGTTAAATATTTATAGGGGATTCTCCTAAATTCTTTCTGTAGGTTGGCAGTGTTGTCAACTTGACGTATAATGAAATGGGCGTTTTATTGTGAATTCTAGTTAAATTTTATTCGAGAACGGTTAAAAAATTAATGCTATATCAGGAGTAAGTAAGCTAATGTGAATGAATATTTGATTCTACCACTCATATTGCGTCCGTTAAGCCAATAATTCGTGTCAAATCTATAGATTTCGACTACAGCTCATTATAGTATAACGCGAAATATCATTGTCTCCACCGTTAAATGTGGTAATACTACCGGTGATAACTTTTTCCGGGGGTTCCCTAATGACACTTGTAGCGTCTCATTGTGTTTCTCTTTCCTTTATTTAACTTTTAACGTCATCAGTGGACAGTAAGTGCCTACCAACTCGAGCATAATCTAATTTTGAATTGTTTAAATAAATTAGAAAACTAAAATAATGGATAAAAATAAGAAACCCAGTGGTCCATTTAAATGCAAACAACGCCAAGAAAGAGAAAATAATAAACAAAAATTGCCTAAAATTTACAAGTTTTTTAGTCAGCCTTCTGCAAGTACATTTGGCCAAAATATTTCTATTGAGWGTGACTCAAATAATGTGGTAACTGCACTGTTGGTTGAGAAGCATACTGAAGAAGATTCGACAATTATTGCAGTTGGAGATACCTTCGCCGCCGATCATATGAACGTGGATGATGGGTGCATGACTAACATAAGTGTGGGGGTTTAGTACCCGCAAATCTTCTTATAACTTGGGAAACTTTACGAACAAAAGTAAAGAAGTAACGAAAAACGTCAAATTCTTTATATGGGGCCTTTTCCAACAGACATCAGAACAACCGGTTTTGGTTGTGTTATTCCAAAATACTAGAGCCTAGCCTATTGTCAACCCTGCTGGTTACTTGCTTTACAAATGAGTAATGTTTGTTGTACCGTAATTTTAGGTTGGAAGCCTTCTTCAAAAAGAATTAAACAACATAGTTGATCGAGTGGCCATTTGGAAGTTTGTGTTCTGTATGGAATTTAAAAAAATATACATATATTAATACCTTCGATAAGGGTTTTGAAAATAAAAGTCGCAAAGAAGCATCATTTTGGAAAAGGGTTCTTCAAAAGATATTCGATATCATACTTAGCTCAGCAAACAGTTCTTTGGTTTTGAGAGAACATCAAGAAGACTAAAATCAGGAAGCACACCATGGAAATTTAGTGTCCTTTGTAAGACTTGTCGCCCGATATGATCACATTTGGTGGTACGTTTTGGAAATGCCCTACGGAAATAATAATTATTTGTAAGTTTCTTTTTTATATAATTATTAACTGTTTAATATGTAATAATAATGTAAGATCTATAAGATATCTGAGAGTAATAATTCAAAATGAAATTATTGAGAACTCGAAACCCATCTACTAGAACAGAGTAGAGCGTCACCGTTTTTTGCCATCATAATGGATACGACTCAGCACATATCAAAGGTAGATCAGCTAAGCATTGTTGTAAGATATGCAGGAAAATGGACAGGCAATTGATAAAATTATTTATCGAAAAATATATAGATTTAAGAAAATGCGTGTGGCAAAGCTATTATGGAGCCAGTGTACAAAAACATATTAAGGATATCGATTCTAACGCAGAGGAATTTAAATTTCGTGATACATGACGGCGGTTAGCAGTTGTGTGGAAATACAGATTTTTTTCGCCATGTAATTTTCATTGAGATATCTTAAGTACGAGTATAAAGTCACCTGGAAATTCGAAAATATTTATATTAGGTAAATGTGAGCTCAGGGAAGTATTGATCCGATCTAACCCATTTTTGATACACGGAGTTACTATTTTCAGAAAAATAGATACTGGGATCCACAGTTTCTGTTGGATTTGGAATTTTTGGTTACAAGGTGGATACTTTAAAATAATTATTAGTACAAAGTTGTATCCCGTTATATTAATTGATTCCTCATTTGTGTACTGGAAAGTGAAAGAATCAAATCGTTCATCGTTCAATTTTCATACCGGCTCCTATACAGCCCTCTCATGCAATCTCGGGTGTAAAATTTAATGTCTCCGGCGTATTTAGCTAATGATTTATTGCGCTTGTGGCTATGCCAAAGTACAGTTCTACAATACCTTTATTTAGTGCTTAGTTATGACACTTTCGATTTATAGCGTTTTGTGCGCTGCCAGTAGTGAGATTACACCCTTTTTTGCCAGAGAAGACG